TTTTTTTTTTGGTCAAACGAAAAAGCAATTTCCGAGAGAAGCTGACAGAAGAGTCTACAATGTGTTTGAAGGATAAATCCAGGATGTCAAACTGATTAAGCAGTGAAAACGGGTTGAAAAGATGAAGATAGAAGCTGAAATGTAAAAGTAAACCACCGCATCACCTGGTGATCCAGACAGAAGACAATGAAATGAATGAGCAGCTCTGTTCGTGAAAAGCTGGGTAGGTCTTAATTCACTGTTACAATCAAAGCAAAAGCAGCATGTGTTTATATACCTTCAGTAGCTAGGTTAGCTAGGTTAGCTAGGTTTTCATGTAGAAACGTAACGTTTTAGAAACGTATATCTCCCTCCAACCTCTCCGGGTAACAAATATCACTATTACGCAATGTTTAACCATGATGAGATCTAAATCCACTAAACCAGCCTGAACATGAAGAACATCTGAAACCATTGCATGAGATTCTATGGGGCAGAGCTTGATGGTTGTCGAACCATGGTCAGAGCTGATTGGCTAGTCTGCGTTTGAGGGCAGGACTTAGATAAGGGTCAATGAGGTCACCTTTAGTCCTACTGGATGAAGTTAAAATTACTTTTTGGTAATCATTGTAATAATTAAAACCGAATTTTCCAAAGCATACATACATTTCCCCTTTATCTTACTGGAAGTACTAACAATAAAATCTACAGTAATTGAACCTGCATCAATTAAGGGGTTGTCCTTAACAAGCGGTGAACGCAGCATTGACATATTATCACTTTTGAAGTTCACGTGTTAGCAAACTGTTTCCTTTTTAAACACATTCAGCAGACAGAGCCGCATAAGCATTGATTTAGAGTCGTGTTTCTGGCCACCTGATGAATATAAGTCCAGTTCACTCTCCTTTTAACTCTGTTCTGGCTCTTTAGCATGCTAAATGCTCCACTGTGTAGTGTTTTCAGCTATGTTTTTTATTTAGTCCTAGTCCTGTGACAAATGGCCTTGTTATCATATTTGTTCAACCTCTTAGATTTTCTTTAGTTAAGTTTTAGTTGGTTAGCTATTCATTGTAATTAACCAAGCAATTTGGTCATGTGTCTCTCATTAAATTAAAGTATCTATACATGCAAAATAATGCAAAATAAATAAAATGGAGTATTCCAGTTGGAACATGTATTCTACTTAAAATAGAAAGCTCTATCTCTGCATGAAGAATATGATGGATGTGATTATTCTCTACAATATAATTAGCCTTTTCAGTGCATATATTATGTGTTTTTTCTGTGGCCTGGCTGCTCACCATATGGCAGCAGGGACACGGAGAATCTCTCGCCCTCTAGTAGTCTCTGTCTGTGCCAAGCTCTGTTGTTCCTCCTCCATCCCATCCCTTCCCCTCACCCTCACTTCCGTCAGAGAACTCACCATGCTGAGCTGCTCGGATGTACTCTCACCTCCTCCACTCCCCCATCCCTCCTTCCATCCTCCCATCCTTTCCTTATATCACACTCTCTCTTATTCCCCTCCGCTTTTTTGATAGTATTTACAACTTATTGGAGAGGAGACACTTGTCTTCCTTCAGCGATTTATTTATTTTTTTAACGCTTTGAGATTTCAAGTTTTGGTTATAATATATACTAAAGAAGAACAGATTAGGTTTTTTTGGGGAATTCCCAAAAGAGACGAAAAGTGATGACTCATGCCGAAGATGACAGTTGTGATTTAATGCGGTATGAGTGGATGTGATGCCTTCAAACTGTAGCTCACCAAACCAACTCCCTCCTGTGCGCCTCCTGCACTTTTATCCTTCCTCCTCATTCCCTCCTCCACTCTTCTTACCTCCCCCCTTCCGTGGATGTGCCTCACCCCTCATCCTCGCTCTTTCTTTGGAATTTGTTTCCGCTTGTTCTTTCTTTGAAATGCTGCTCTCTATCAGGAAACGTGTGATTCTCAGTAGCTGATATCGTCACTGCCCTGTCACTGTCTCTCCAGGAGAAATCTCTGTAAACAGAATCTTCATATGAATGCAAAGACGTAATGCATTGGCCAGAATACGAAAAATACGTAAAGAATATTGCAAAGAACTCAAAGTCACTTTTCCGTAGTGTTTATAGTTCATATCAGACCTTCTCGGGGTGAAACATAGTGCTTCTCCAAGTGTTTTATTTATGTTTGCCCCTACAGTATGAGGCTAACCATCACCAGCTCAGTGCTTATAATCCCCTTATAATTGATCCCAATGCACTTCAGGTAAAAGGTAATGAGCACACCATGTGCTGCTGCACACATGGTGAACCTGTGGACGCCCAGCATATCAGCTGGGATGAGGGAAGGCTGGTTTGGATTCAGGGACAACCTCAAATTCTGACAACTACTGGCCAGTAGGGAGAGACTCCTGTGGTTGCAAAAAGAAGTCAGATTCTATGGAAGTCTATGAGAAAATGCCCCAACTTCTCACTTGATTTATTACGACTTGAACTGTCGCCAAGACAAGATAACTATGGGCTGTGTGATAACACATAAGCCAAACTCATCGTTTACTGTTGTCTGCTGTCTTTTTTCGTGTGGGACTTTTGTACGGAAATAACGTGAATGAACTGGCTGTCAATGAGAAAGTAAAGAAGTAAACGTGGGCATTCCTGTACCCAACGAGCCAATGGTAAGTGTTAAATGGATGAAAAGTGAAGCCAATGCAAAAGTGTCTTAAACTTGCATTCTCTCTACTGACCAGCAGGGAGTCAGTGGTCGCAAAAAGAAGTCTCATTGTATAGAAGTCTATGAGAAAATGACTCTACTTCTCTCTTGATTTATTACCTCAGTAAACATTGTAAACTTGAGTTTATGGTCTCAATCTCTAGTTTCAAGTCTTCTTCAATACAGCATGATGTTCATTTAGTAAATTATGACCCAATTAGAGGTAAATGGACCATAAAGCAGGGTATGCTTTAGGGTGTGGCTACCTTGTGAATGACAGGTCGCTACCGCAACCAGAACCGTATACGGCGTCTATTACTTCTTCGTAGTCCAAATATGGTCACTGCCATTCACTGGTTGCAAAAAGCCAAGATAGCGACAGCCAAAACGCCGAACTCGAGGCTTCAAAAAGGCAGTCCACAAACCAATGGATGACGTCAAGATGACTAATTCCACTTCTTATATACAGTCTATGGGTGAATTAGGAAGGTAGCTCGAAACATGCACTGAGGTATCACTTTTTGTCAATAAGCCGTAAACAATCCCCCCGGCCATTTCATAGATTATTGGCTCCGGGATCTCAACCTTCCCCTTTAAATAAATGGACCGTTGCTGGAGCCCACAGGAGGGCGTTTGCCAGCTATAGTCGGTGTTGATTCGAGCTCCGAACCCCATCGCCATTCGCACCGGAGTGGATGTTCAAGAGCACGGTGGCTGCGGGATGATAGCAATTACCACCAAATGGAAAGAAAGTGGGTGAAGAGGAGTGCTTGAGAACACACTTAGCTCTGTCACGCACACTTGATTTATTGGAGTGCACACAACAACATACAAACACACACACACATACTTGTAATTGGACAAATACCTAAGGAAGACTATTTTTGGATCACGATGAGATGAAGCACAGAGTCTAGAGGACTGAAGAGAAAAGAGAGAAACTAAGAAGAGAGCGAGCTCCCAGATATAAAAAAGATAGATGGAACAAAAGACGAAGATGAGAAGAAAAACAGAGGAAGAAAAACAGAGAGAGAGAGAGAAGGAGGGAGGGAGAGCGGGATGAGAGAGAGAGAGAGAGAGAGAGAGAGAGAGAGAGAGAGAGAGAAGGGACAGATGGAGAGAGCACCAGAGCCAACAGCAGAGCTAAGTGGGTAGTGTGCTCCCCAGACAGCGCTCCATATGGCCTGTCAACGCCATACACAGCCAGGCAGCACAAACACACATATACACAGCATGTATACACACGGAAACATACACAGAGCATGTATCCATGTATCCATGTGCCATGTAGCCACACATATACAGAGTTCGGCCACTCTTTCAACAAACAAAAACAAACATCAAATGAGATCCATTGGTGTCCTCATTTTTAGTCCCCTTGTTATTGATGGGTTGTTCAAAATGTGACTTTTAGCACAAATATGGTAACTTCCAGTCATTGGTTGCGGAAAACACAACATGGCGACGGCCGTAAATCCAAATGGCGAAAGCAAAATCGCCAAACTCGAGGCTTCTAAACGGCAGTCCACAAACCAAAGGGTGACGTCACGGTGACTACGTCCACTTCTTATATACAGTCTATAGTTAAAAATGTTTTTTTTGCTGATCCGAAAAATGATCTGAACCGTGACTCAAAAACCGTGATACGAACCAAACCGTGAGTTTTGTGATCCGTTACACCCCTAGTTCATACCATCAATTCATTCCTTATATAACAACACAAAAGACCCAGTTATGGGAGGAAAAAATAAAAATGAAATGCTTACTATCCAGTAAAGATGGAACTCTCTCAAGCGTGCAGAAATGTAAGTGAGAGTGTTTCAAGTCCCTCCCCCCCCC